TTCACGTGTAATCCACGTGGTTTAGAAATTTTGGAACATAATATATTTTGTGGCGAAACTTTACATTTTAAATAAATATATAAATATATATATAAAACTAAGAATTCTTAAAAAAAATTGATAAAAGTAATTACATGATAATTAGACTATCATTACATAGTAAATAAATAAAAGTTAGGAAATATTTTTTTAATACAGTTATTTTAGATTAAGTAATTATTTAATATAATTATTGGTTTTCTTTGAAAGATATTTTTTTTTCTAACACAAAAATGTATACTGGTAAAAATTTGTAATTAATTAAGAGTGAAAATACATAGACAACTAAAAAATATGTTGATATTATACTAAGTTTTTTGTTCATCCATAAAAAAGTAGTTTTTCACGGTTAAATCATGTGAATCATGGAGCAGTAGTTATTAAGGGCCCATTTGATAACCATTTCGTTTTTCGTTTTTGGTTTTTCAAAAATAGGGTTGTTTGATAATCAGTTCAATTTTTTATTTTTTGTTTTTTGTTTTCAAAAACCATTTTGAAATTCTATGTAAATTTAAAAAAAAAAAGTAGTTTTCGATTTTTTCTTCAAATACTCAACTTTTTTTTCTTTCTCATATATATCTCTAAAAAATTTATTTCTCACTCTAAAATTTTTTATTCTAAATTTCTCTCTACCAATTTTATTTTTTTCTATCTAAAATTTTCATATTTTGAATATTTATTACTATTTGTCTCTCTCCAAAATTACTTTCATCTGTGTCTCTAAAAATTTAATATTTTTCCTAACTTTTTTCTCTCTAAAATTTCATCTCTTATAACTTTTCTTTATCTTCGTAATCTATTTTTTCCTCTAAAAATTATATTTTATTTTCTCGTTCAATTTTATTTCACAGTAACATTTATTTATCTTTGTATTTATTTATTTTCTCTAAAAATTATATTTTGAATCATGTTATTATCTCTAAATTTGTTCCACTATAATTTTTCTCTTTCTTTATAATTTTTTTTCTTTAACATATATTTTACTCTCGACTTTATTTTTTTTCTCTATAATTTTTCTCTTTTTGTCTTTTAACTTTTCTTTCACTCTTTTTTTTTTAATCTTTTTATGTATCTCTCTAAAATTTATCTTCCAAAAGTTTATTTACATCTCTCTAAACTTGTATTTTCATGTCTCTACCGGGAAAAACAAAAATTTATGCATGGTCGGGTCCCAAAAATAGGAAATGCATGTCCCAACCCCATCCCCGTCCCCGATTCCATTTTTTAAATAATTAATATATATTTATTACACTTTTTTATACTTAAATTCTAAAAATAATTAAAAATAATTATAAAACCGATAATTTTTCTCGAGAGCATCTCTCGGACCCAATAACGAGGTGGAGATGGAGACTAAAAATTTTCACGAGCACGAGAATGAGGGAGAACATCCTCACTCGCACCCACACCATAATTGTCATCTCTACTCTACATAAAATTTTCTCTCTAATATGTATTTTCAATTTTCAAACTTTTTAAAAACAAAAAACTAAAAATGGTTACCAAACATATTTTGGTTTTCTATTTTTTAAAAACAAAAAACAAAAAATGGTTATCAAATAGGTTTTGTTTTTTAAAAATAGAAAACCAAAAATCAAAAACTAAAAACAAGAAAAATCAAAAACTAAAAACTAAAATGATTATCAAACGGGCCTTAAACAATTGAATGGGGTGATCCTACTTTTTTTTTTATTATTATTCTATAGATTTCTTGCCTTCTCTGTTTAAAATGTATAAAATCTTTAGTTTTTGAAAAAAAAAGAGATTTTTTTTTATGAATTTGTTCTTATTTTTATAAAACATCTATTAAATTATATTTTAAAATTTTCACGTATATTTCACTTATAATATTTTATGAATAAAGTATGACACGAAACAAACTTTTTCTCCCCATAGATTCTAAAAACTAAAATTTAAAATGCTGTCAATTTTTTAGTTTATGAAGAAAATTGCCTCTTATTTTTATTTTCTATGAATTTGCTTCTTATTATTATTTCCTATAATACTTCAAAAGTTTTAACAATATATTATTCATAATATATTCAATCCAGGAAAGTAAGACATTAAACAAATTTGAAAAAAAAAATAATATTACCATAAAATTGTATCGTTACAAATTTTAGAAAAAATAAATCATATGTATAGTATACAAAGTTTCTAGTATGATGACATATTGGAAAAGAATTTTAAGAAAATATTTGAAGTTAATAACATTGTATAGAAAGTTTGAACGACAACGTTGCATTGAAAGTTAATCCATTAAAATTTAGAAATATAATATGAATAGTAAAAAAAATGTTCAATATAAATTAGTAAATAATTAGTATGAACATTTTGTTTGAATAATTAATGTAAAGGGTTTTAGAAAATAAATTAAAATATATTCAAATGATTTAGGACTTACATTTTATATGATCTTATCAAGTTCTTGTTGAATCTCCTTCCTCAAATTAGTAGTATCTTCAATTTTTGTTGATTTTCGCTCAGAAGATGATAGGGTATCAGGTTTTTGGTGATATTCGCCCTTTTTAATAAACCAAAAGATCTTTCACGAATGGATGTGATCTAAAAACTTATTTCATAACTTTTGAATATGGAAATAAAAAAACTTATCTTATAGATCAATGCGAACCAAAGGAAATTGAACCAAAACATCTTTAACCATTTAAAATAGGACATTAGAGACTCAAATCCATATATATGATTGATCAACAATTAAAGAAAAAACAAACCTCCAATTACAGATATATGATGCCAACGTCGTCTTCATCGTCGCTGATGGAGGTCTCCAATTTTCAAACTCTCATTACTTTCATTTTCTTTCATCATTATCAATCACTTGCACCACATGTTTTTGCCCAGCCATACAATTCACAAGGAAGTTTTACAATGTTTCGAACATGAGTTTTGGGCAAAATAAAAAAATACATAGGTTTATTTTCTTTTATAGGTGGTTTGCAATCACACCTATACGTGGATGGATGCATCGTCGCTTTATTGAACAATCACATCTCTTTTAGATTAATTTATCTCAACAGACATCTTCGAATAATCGTGTCCCGTAGGAGTTTTCAGGGGTAAAACTTTTCATGTTCAAACTTTGTTAAATTATTGAAATAGCTTTTAAAGCAAGAAATAAGTGTAAGGTATATATGTTAAAATAATAATTATTTTGAGATTTTAAAATTCTTGGTAGTGTTAGTTTCCAATGGATAGTTTGGGTGGCTTGAGGCTTTCCTTGAGGTCTTGGGTTTTATAGGGACATGAATGTCAAAGTAGGGGTGTTCACGGATTAGGTTGGGTCGGGTTAGGAGGAGTTTTGGGACCAACCTGAATTTTTAGATTGACCATATTATAGGAACTGACGGGTTTGAATTGGATGGTCAACTCGACCTAATTTCTGGGTTGGGTTGTCGATTTTTCTTTTTAATTTTTAATTTTTAATTATCACAACGACAACTAGGATTTAGGATTTGAACTGAATGGACGGCTGAGATTAAGTTCCAAAATGGAAGAAGATAATATGAAAATTTTAAATGAAGGGGTAGGATTAACACTAAATGGACGGTTGGCATTGAAGATAAAGATATTATTATATATATATATAAGTATAAATTCGGGTTGGGTTGGGTTGACCCGATTTTTTAAAGATCGAACCCGAGAATCGACCCATTCTGATCGAGTTGATCGAGTTGTCGGGGTTTTTGAACACCCCTAGATCAAAGGGCTACCGACTCCGGGATAATAAAAAAAATCTTGGTATTCTTATGTTAAATATAATAAAAAAATATATTATAAATGATTCAACTCAGAATTTAACTATTAATGAAACAACCTATCCCATTTACTTACCATAAAATTAGATATATAAAATTTTTTTTAGTACACATGACCTTGTGGTCAGAGATAGGTGTCTAAACCATTTGAGTTATATTCGGTTTGGCATAAAATTAGATATATTTATATATCTATTTTAGTTCGTTTTCATTTAACAATTCAATAGGATCTACTCTACAATAGCTCACTTTTATAAAGTAATTTCTGGATGTTTAATTTTCCGCAGTACACTAGTTAGTATTGACTTATTAGTTCAATTCAATGTTTGAACATTAATAAATAATTAAATAAAAGAAAAACACTAACATTATTATTTTCTCCATTTTTTTCCTTACAATTAACCCAATTAAATTAAACCAACCAAACCTCTATTGTATACTTTAGGGATGAATTGAGCCCATCATCTAATTAGAATGTGTTTAAATTAGATAAATTTATAACTTTGAACAATTATAGATTAATCCAACACAATGCAACTCATCAAAAACTCTTTAGGAAAACATTTGCCTTCCACAAGTTAAACAACAATGCGGCTTTGTTATATATAATCGATAATACTATTTTATACTTTAATTCATTTTAGTCTTTATACTTTCAACTATTGTTCGTTTTAGTTCTAGTAATTTTAAAACATCTGTTTTGGTTGCTTTACTTTTAAAAAGTGAACAATTTGATCCATATTTGTAAACTTTTAACAAAAATTTTATACACAATGGAAACTTTTTAAATAAATTTCTGGTTACATTTAAAAATATTTGACGACTAAAAGTATTAAGCTAAAATTACGATGGAAGAAGAGAAAAAAAAAGTGAAAATGAATGACTAAAATGATCCTTCGAGACCAAGAAAAATTAAAATTACAAACACCAAAATAGACTTTGTAAAAAAAAAAATACTTATAAAAAGAAAACCTATAACGATAAAATGTTATTGGTACACATGTGTGAACAGCAGGAATTCTTGCTCTAGAATTATTGATGGCGATTCCATTAAAATCCGTATGCATACAAAACTGTGAACCAAAAATATTTGAAGCAGTCTAAATTTGTTGAACTTTTCTAAATATAACTTCTAATCAAACAAGTATATATAGGGCTTCCTATACCTGAAATTCTCAAGCACCCACAGCCCTCCATAACTGCTCTGTGAAACCAGCTTGTGCCTAAAACTTTAAGACATATACTTCACCATAGCCATGGCAATGGGAAGAGGCTCTAAGTTTTTTCACACTCTTTTCTTAGTGTTTGTTTGGCAGTTTTGTGGGGAGGTGGGTGCCACTTTCAATGATATCACCGGCGTTGCAAAGACCGGCCTCCATGAGCCGTTTTCCTTCCGCGCATTTGGGCCACATGGTGGAGACTCGCAGAGTCCTACAGAAGCACCAATGCAAAGTCCTATAGAGAAGTTCAAGATTGCTCCGGAACTTGTGCCATTTCATACAAAGCTGGTGGACAATGGTGGTTTTGGTGTCGGAGTTCTGAAGGGTACCAAAACTGTAAAGAGCGTTGGCCGCGGTTTTATTGCTTCTCACGGTGTGACTACAAAGAGCATCAGCAACTTTTTTTCTTCTCAAGGTAGTTTGACTACAAAGAGCACCAGCAGCGGTGTTGTTTCTCATGGTGTCCAAAATGCTGCAAACAACGGTGGTAATATTGTTGTCCAAAATGCTGCAAAGAGCGGCGGTAGCGTTGTTGTCCAAAATGCTGCAGAGAGCGAGCTTCGGTCGCTCTGTTGTTTCCCATGGTGTCCAAAATGCCGCAAAGAGCGGTGGTCGTGCTGTTGTTTC